TCTCTCTCTCTCTCTCTCTCTCTCTCTCTCTCTGTCTCTCTAATTTTATAATTTTGGTTGTGAGCCTAGCCTTTAACAGTTGAGCCATCCCTCCAGGCCACACTATAATTTTAAAAGAACCTATCTGACCTGAGCAAAATTTCTAGTTTTGGCCACTTCTTTGAGTAACTCACTTATCTGAGACACTCAAGGTAACTCCCCTGACTCAGACCTGAGGGTTTGATAAACTACTTCCTCCTGCTCATTTGTCTCACGCTATATGGGACATAAGAAGGAAGAGAAAAAAAAAATCTTCTCCTCCCCCGCCACACACACACCTGGGTCACTGGTCATGGAATACCTAACCTGGCATAAGGCCACCGTTAGAGGCCAGGCTTTGAGTGGACACAGTAGCACTTAGATGCCACCTCACAAGAGACCAGCAAGTTACAGCTGGTTCTGCCACCTCCCGCCAAACACTACTACACCCTGCCATGTGGTCCTAGCTGGACCTGCAATTTCTACTCTTGGGTTGATTAGTCAATACTCCTAGAAGGTAGGTGTGTCCACATCCGTGGCTGTCCTCACTGCCTCCTCCTGGAATTATTTTATGGGTCCCACGCCACCTACTAGGCTAGAAGAAGCCACATGGAGGTGGCCAACCAGGCCTGCAGCATTCACATGTCCCTGCACTAAATTGCAAGCTGTCACTCCTCCACACACTCTCTGAGGAGCTCCAGGCCTGAGACACCCACCCACCCACGCCACCCAGTGCCCAGGGACACTCACGATGTTCATGAGCGTGAGGACGTAGTTCTGCGTGTGCTCCTTGCCATGGAAGCGAACCACCGAGTCATCCACTGCCAGCAGCACCTCGATGCTGTAACTGCCGGGCCTGGCATGCCGCCGCTTCCGGTCTGTGTCACCCAGCTGGTCCCCAACCAGATCCAGCACGTTGGGCAGGTCACCAAGGCCAAAAGCTAGAACCAGGTAGAAAGAGTGGGAGGCTGTAACACATGTTGAATCCATCTTTCTTTCTCTCTCTTTCATTCTTCTTCTCTTTTTCTTTCTGCTTTGTTTGAGACAGGGTTTCTCGAAACCTGAAGCTCTGGCCATCCTGGAACTCACTCCGTCAACCAGGCTGGCTTCAAACTCAGAGATTTTTCTGCCTCTGAGTGCGGGGATTAAAGGTGCGCACCTCTACCACCTGACCCTTTCTCTCTTTCTTTTTCAGGCAGGGTCTCCTGTAGGCCAGTCTGGTCTTGAGCTTATGTAGCTGAAGATGACCTGGAACTTCTGATCCTCATGCCTCTACTTCCTGAGTTCTGAGACGACAGGGCACGCGCCACCACATCATTCCATGGGGTGCAGCTGGGTGAACCCACTAACGGAGCCATATCCCCAGCCCCTCAGACTGTTCCTCAAAACACTCAGGAATCCACTTATCTAAAATCCCATTAGAGTGGGCCTGAGCTGGGGGTATGAAGACCCCACAACCGCACTCCTAGCGGCTGGCAGATGGGTAGACAAAGGGCAGTTGGATGATAAATGGGGAGGGGGCTGCATTGGAGTCTACAGTTTAGGTCACATGACAGAAATGGAATTGTGCCAACATACAGTTTAAGGGCTTCTTATCCATTTCAGATCACCATTTTTGGACTTTGTGGAATGCATACACCAGGACAGCTGAGCATCCTTGATCCAAAAATCCCAAATTGGAAATGCTCCAAAAATCCAAAACAGTGAAGATTCCCGGCAGTCCAGCGTCTAAGCCCAATGGTGATTCCAGCATCTCAGAGGAAGGAGGGGGGAATCCTGGCCCGGTGGGGTGGGGTGGGGGCAGGTGCAAGTACTCTCCATGAGAGGAGAGGGAGCAATGGTCACCTTAGTATGTGAGCAGCACTCAGATACTCAACAGCCCTGGAGCCCTTCCCTCTACATTTACTGAAGGGAGGCTCAGAAAGGTCACCTAACTCATTCTAGGTCACACAGCAAATTAACGGCAGGGGCCCTAACTGTAAACCTGAGTCTCCCTCCACACCCAGGCTGGGACTACCCAAATTTCCCTCTCCGCAAATGAGAAAAGGGGAGTCATGTATCAACTGGGGGGGGGGGGTCATAGGTACCTCAGAAACACTCTCTTCTCCGTGACCCTCCAGGCACAGCGAGCCAGAGCTGAGAGCCATGAGGGAGCCCACCCAAGAAGCCCCAAGTGAATGGAAAATGTACAGCTGCCCAAAACCATCAGCAATCTCCAAGCCCTGAAACCTAGAGGGACCCACGGATTCCATTCCCAGACCACACCCAAAGCCAGCTGTATTCACTGAAAACGGCACGCAGACACGTGTTCAGACCAGCACCCCGTCACAGCGGCCCCAAAGGTGTGCGGACAGAGAGAAGAGTGCAGGCGTGAGGAGGAAAGCGACAGCGCTGTGCACACGAGTGGCATGCTGAGACCACTGTAACGTGAAGCCTTGAACGCTAAAGGGAAGACGTCAAACAGGCCTCAAACTGTATTCCTGTGTTCAGAGGGATCCACCCTCATCGTGGGGAGGACAGAAGATTTTAAAGAGAGTGACAAGCACGTTTTGGAATTAAACAAAGGTCTTGGTTGCACGCATTGTGAAGGCGGCGTAAAGCCACACAGCTATGCATTTTAAAAGGGTGAGTTTGAGAGCTGAGGAGACGGCTCTGCCGGTAAAGGAGTTCTACATGAGCGTGTGGCCCGGAGTTGGATCTTTGACCCCTAGATAAATGCTGGGGACGTGTGGCTGCCAGTTTGTAGTCTTAACAGGTGGGAGGCAGGGTCAGACTCCTCAGAGCAGGCTAGGGAGCTAGACGACAAATCCTTGAGCTTCAGATCCAAGTGCAAGAGCCTGCCTCAGTATACAAAGTAAAGAACGATTGAGGAAGACAGACACATGAACACACATGACCCCACAAGTACCCACTCACGGACACATAAGCAAAGCATGTACATGAACACACATGGACATACACCTCACACACATATGTTTATGGCCGAGGCCCAAAGCTCAGCCATAGGAGTCTATGATGGTTCACATCCAGTTGCCTCTCATGAAGGATGTGGGAGGAAGGAACAAGGCACAGGGCAGGCCAGGGCTGAAGAAGACGGTGGTGTTAGGAGATAGACAGAGAGCTGGGGAAATTGAGGTGCAGTCAGAACATAGAGGGATACCCCAACAGCCTGGCCGAGCAGTTCAGACTTCTGAGTGCTAAGGGACGGAGGATTCCATTTTCTTTTTAATTAAGCAATGTTAGACTTTGATCATATCCTTAGCTACAAGTCATGTTTTTTTTTTGACTGGCTCTTCATCAATAATCTTGTGAATTACACATCATCAATTGTTTCCACTGTTCTGAGAAATGACTGACCAGAAGATGTTTTGTGGTGCCAACTGTCTGACCATAAACCCACACATGTACCCTTCCTGTGATCTTAAAGATAACTGAAATTTTTTACTTTTAATTACCGGTTGCTTGGTATAAGGGGACTCTTACCTTTAACCTGGGTTATTTATTTTCATTCTCCTACTATGGAAGACTGAAAATATGGCCCAGGCATCATTAAATTTTTCCTTTCCCACATCTCAGTGTTAGCTCCTGGTTTTTGACACCGTAACACTGAAATTGGGCCATCGCATGCTTGACCACGCCCTGGAAGCGATTCTTTGGGGGCCCAAGTCTCAAGGGCCAGTGAGCAAAAGTGTGAGGGTCTGGGCATTGTACGCACACGTGTGGGTGTATGATTTGAGAGTGGGGGAGGTGTTCACAAGGTCAAGCATGAATAAGCGAGGGCTCATGAGGGGAGATGTTACTGTAGCGGGTATTTCACTGTGTGAGACTGTGTGAGTGTACAGACGGGAACGTGGGACTGTGTGGGTGCAGGAGTTTGTGTGTATACAGTAACAGGAATGCTGCACACATACCCTCTGCAACTGCAAGAAGCTGCAGCCAAGGCCACACCCCGGGGCCCTGGAGGACTAGTCCCCTCCACCCTAAGTTCATGGGTGAACGCTGTAACCCTGAACAAAGAAGCTTGAAGGCAGTCTGCCATTCCAGAAGTAGCTTGAGTAACAGGTCCACCTGATAAAGCCCCTCAGGACACCACCAACACTCACAGAAAGACAAGAGTCCACGTTGGGGGAGTCACACAAAGGTGATGAAGCCTTGGGGTCTGTCCCTCAGGAACCTCCCCACCAGCGTCTGAAGGAGATGGAACAACAGGAAGCAGTGCTGACTCAGAGGGACAAGGAGAGAGACACTCACACAGGATAGGGACGGGCAGATATGGGGTGGCTCAAGCTGGGGCGCCCTCTGCCAGCCTTAGAAATGATTCTCCACAGGCCGGGCAGAGAGCAGGCCTAAGAGAAACCTTCGGCTGGTGAAGACACAAGGAGACAAGCCCACCCGGGATCTTCTCACAAGAAGTATCCCTACCAATGCCTCTCAGAGTCACAGGTGCCCAACAAAGTGCTCTACCATCCCTTGTCACTCAGACGAAAGACCCTGGGTGGCCAGGCCCTGACCATTGGCTGGTACTCAGGGGTTTCACCCACGTAGCTTGAGGTACAGAACACTGGACACAGTTTCCAGGGCTGATACCTCAACTCCGAAAGCTTGGCCTTGGGGCCTCCATCTGTGTGGCTACTAAGGGGTCAGGGTCTGGGGTCAGGCTAATGGAGAGAAGCTCGCCTTCTCCAAGCCTCTCTTCAAAGATAGATCCATGGCTTTTGGTTCAGAATTGGAAAAAAAAATCCCAATATTCTCCTTAGAAAGGAGGAACTGTGCCCATCCCAGCCTGACTCACACTGGTCAAGAGTGTTCATCCAGCCCCTCGTGCCCACCTGTCAGCCTGCAGTCTCCCAATTCTTACAAGCGACACTCGGAGAGCAGCTGAAGCTTCACAGAGCTGGCTTCTGGGCATTCCTTCACACAGGGCCCTACCCCACGGGACCCTGGCGTGAGGGTGTGGCCACTCAAGACCAGATTCCAACCAGCCAGTATCATTGCTTCTCAAAGGAACTCCACAGCAAAGCTACAACTAACTCACTGTGAAGTTGGCCGCAGGGCCCGGAACAGCACCTGTCACATTCCCGACATCCCTTCTCTCAGCAAGGGTCCCCAAGTACTAGGAGAGAATTGCTCCTGCTTTTAAGGGGTTCCTACCTACTCCAAGTGACTGCAGTGAGACCCGCCGTTCATCAAGGGTCAGCTGTTTGCCTGGCTTTGTGTAGACTTTAGTGTGTACTCCACCACACATGCAACAGCCTTAGCAGGTAGCTTCGATGGATTTCACCTCACTCATTTGGAAGCTCTGAGATGTTAAAGTACCCGCCTAGGATCAGCAAAGTACCGCTTTGGATCAGCAAGAATCCAAAAAGGTGCACTGGTCACCAAGTTGTCCCTGCTGCTCCAACACCAGGAACTGATTAGCAAGGACCTTAAGGATCTGCTTGTGGCTCCCACACAGTGGGGTTGGGTTTTAGCGGGAAAGAACCAATAGCCATTCAACCTTCTGCTTCAGCTTAGCCACGGTACATCCTCAGAGACGTTGGAATCCTGAGGATCCCTGTTCAAGACCCAAGTGGCTCTCTCTAGCCCCGGGATTTTGGCCAGTTCTAGCTGCCCGTTTAATCCACTGGGGCTTCTCTCCTGCTTTGGCTGCCCCTTAGGGCCCAGGCCTATTTCATAAATGAGAAAACTGAGGACAAGTACTGAGAGCTTAAACCAGAAGTTTAAGGTTGGGCCCCCTGCCCATAGCCTACCTTCATTGTGAAGATCCCCGTGAGGCTCTGCCCGTTCCTGCTGGACGGCTTCCCGGCGGTATACCACGTGCGTCCTCCCTCCAGCCTCCTTCTCCTGCTGCCCTCGCTCCAGAGGCTCAATGAAGAAGTCTGAGCTGTCTGTGCGGATGAGGCCAGCCTGCGGGTCAGGGAGAGGGGGAGCAAGGCGAGAGACAGAAGAGGTGAGAATGGGGGACACAAAACAAACACGTGTAGGGGCTCTCCCTGCAGAGCCTGGGAAGCCCTGGGACTCCCGTAAGTCCTATGATGGGGAAGCGCAGAGAAGTTAGGAAGGCTGATCGTGGTGGGGGAGAACCCCATTTTAAGCGCAGCAGGACCTGCCTTGCTTGTTCTAGTCATCTGAGGCTTCATGTGAACAAACAGGTCTGTCATTACTTTTCAAGGTAAGTGGGGCACACACAGCTAGGCACAGTATTCTGACAGTATCCTACTCCCCCTAAAGGCAAAAGGGAAAACCCCAGAACAAAATGGAAATCAGCCCGTGGATAGGTGTGGACCCTGCTCCAGTACAAAGGGTTATTGTTTCAGCCCCAAAGCACACGTGTATGGTACAGCAGGGGGCTATGGGCCCCACGGGAACCTAGCCAGGATGGGGCACCAAGGACACAGGCTCCACTTTCAATCTCACATTCTGTCCACATCAAAATATTCCCTTAAAAAGATCAAATCAAGGGCTGGCCAAAAATCTAACCTTGGCCAAAACCAGAAAATGTGTTATTAGCCACCAACCAAGACCATAATGAAAGAGGCCAAAAAAGTGTATAAAGAGATGTGTGTTAATATACATATGCCTGCACATGTGCATAGACACACACGCATGCACGTCACCTCCATAAAGCAGGCCAGCCCACCTACCACGGTGTGTGGAAAACAGCAGATACTGTTTAATAAATAAATGTTTGTTGAATTCATTCACTTGTTCTAACAAAGACCCACTGAATGCCTTCAGTATCCCGTACACCGGGAGCCCAGCTGCAAACACAGAGCCGAGCTCCAAGGCACATTTTATAAGCTGACGAGCCTTCTCCATTTGAACCACAACCCCCCCTTTCTTGAAGCAGCCACTGCACACCGTTCAATTCCACCCACCTCCCCAGCTCAGCCTGCTTGGGAGCTGAGCCTCAGAGACGTCCTTCCAAGGCCCCAGTGCACCTGCCCCGACAGCATCGGGCCCTTTTCATTTGCTACTGAAGCAGAAAACCAAGCTGGTCAAGACCGAGACGGTCACCGTCACACCTCATTACAGACCCATGGGGGAGGCCAAGAAATACTCCAGGGAAAAATGGTGGCATTGTGACAGTGTGTAGCCTACCCTGGCTCCATTTCATCAGGTAATGGGATGGTCTGAGAAACTCCTGGTGTTTTTGTTAAAATGCCAGGGACAGGACTCTTGGGCTGGGAAGACTGAGTATAAAGTACTTGCTGTATAAGCCTGACAGCCTGCACTCAGATTCTCAGAACCCACATAAAAGCTAGACACAGTAGCCGAGGCTACCCCCATAGTCTCAGCATGCCTGGGTGGGGGACTGGAGACTCGGACATAAGCACCATGAACAAGAGATCCTGTTTAAATCAAGGTAGCAGATGACCGGACCCACGCTTATTGTTCTCTGATTGCATGCATGCTGTGTCTCGTGAATGATTGCATGCACACGCTTGCACCACACCCCTACAAGCACACGCATGCACACACACACACACAGCACATGCAATGTCAGCATTATCATTCCTTCAAAAGACTCAGCACCTACCACTTGCTCTGGGAAACAGGCAAATAAGGCTCAGCCTCTGGCTCTGGGAAGGAGCCAAGGACGAGGAACGTCCAACCCTGCCCAGCACTAGGACAGGTGTGGTCCCAAGGGATGGGTGTGCACCCACTACCTAGTTACAAGAGCTAAAAACACAAACTGACACCCCTGCCCAAAGGGGTCTGTGTTGGCCCCACGGAAATCCTAGCCAGAATAAGGACTAGAAGCAAGGGGTTCGAACGCTCTAGGCTTCCTGGCACGAGCTTCATTCTCTCCCATATTGACAGCACACCTCCACTCTGCCGCCAGACAGTGTAGTCTGAGGAAGAGCAGTGGTGATCCCAGCTGTCAAACAGGCACCTGGAGATTAGCAGCCTGGGCTAGACCCTACAGCTTGACGAAGGGAAATGAATGCATGAGAGGAAGGAAGAAAGTGGTAGGGTGGTCAAAGAAAGCCACCCGAGATGGAAAGGGCATGTCAGGTGGACGGGGGCCTTGGGCAGCATAGGGAAGCAGGGACTGTGCCATGGATCAGAGAGGCCTTGGGGGTCACAAGCAGAAGCTGAGCAAGGACAACAAGCAATGGCTGTGGTGGTTTGAAAGAGAATGGCCCCCAGAAGGAATGACGCTAATGGGAGGTTGTGGCCTTGCTGTAGGAAGTGCTTCACTGTTGGGGTGGGCTTTGAGATCTCCTATGCTCAAGTTACAGTCTAGTACCTCTTAGATCACTTCCTGTGGCCTGGAGTCAAGATGTAAGAACTCTTAGCTCCAGCACCATGCCTGCCTGCATGCTAGCATGTCCCACCATGATGATAATGGACTAAACCTCTGAAACTGTAAGCCACTCCATTAAGTATTTTTCTTTATAAGAGTTGCTGTGGTCATGGTATCTCTTCACAGCAAGAGAAACCCTAAGACAATGGCCAAACTCAAGAGCCTCTACTACTATAGAACTACAGGATCCCAGGGCACATGAAAGATTCAGGGTTAAAGCACAGGACATTCCCCAAAGCTATTCCAGCTGGGCAGTCTTGACAGGGCTGGTGAGGAAGCTCAGCCCAGCCCACCATCACTTTCCATACTCCTTCTTACGTCCCATCTGCTAGAGAGGGGCTGTGCCTGGCCCCTGGGACAAGCAAAGAAACCATCCCTTTGCAGGTCTATCCAGGCCAAGATCCACACAACCAGGCTTGCCCCGGGAGGTGGTCTGTGCCATCTCAGCCCTCATGCTTCTTGAAGCACACTAGCAGAACAGAATTCCCTAGACAGTCAATCAGAAGACTCCACCCACCTGTCTCATGCCCTGGTTCTCCTTACCCAGACACTCTCTAGTCTGGAACTTGCTTAACCAACTGCACAAAGCAGAGCTTTCAAGCGTTGATACCTCCTGTCTCGTGGGTCAGTGATCCCCTGTGGTTCAGAGCAGAGATGCAGGTTCCAGAATGACCCGGATGCTATCATTGCTGCCCAGCCCACAATCACTGACCACACTTTTAAGCTCGAGATTGAGATTTTCTAACTTAATGACAAAACCAGCTAGGGGACCTCTAACTTATGCTTCAGTGTCCCCAGTGACAGAAACCCTCCTGTCTTGTGATGTAAGAAAATCTCTACAGAGGTGCTCCCAATGTATCAACTTGCCACAGCCTGGAGTCACCAAGAAGGGTGTCTCAGTTCTTTATCATAAGCATGGTCTAAATGCATGCTTACGAGACATCGTCTTGATTGCTAATTGTCATAGGAGGACCCAGCTCCCTGTGGGTAGCACCCTTCCCTAGGCTGGGGGTCCTGGGCTGTAGAAGAAAGATAGCTAAGCATGAACTTGAGCAAGTCAGCAACCAATATTCCTCTATGGTCTCTACCTTCAAGATCTCACCCTGATTTCCTTCAGTGATGGACTGTGACCTCAAAGTGTAATCCAAATAAACCCCTTTCCCCCTAAGTTGCTTTTGATTAGAGTGTTTTATCACAGCAACAGACGGAAAACTAGAATATGTCCCTCTGTTCTACCCTTTGTAAACTGCTTTATTATCTATTATTATTAAAAAAGTAGTTCTTAAAAGCTGGTGTGATAGTTTGAATATAATAAATTCATAGGGAGCGACACTATCAGGAGGTGTGGTTTTGTTGGAGTAGGTATGGCTTTGTTGGAGGAAGTGTGCCACTGTGGAGGTGAGCTTTGAGGTTTCCTCGAGATACTGTCCCATGTCTCAGTGTCTCAGTCAACTTCCTGTTGCCTTCTGATCAAGTTGTAGCCAGTTCTATGTCTGCCTGCACACTGCCATGCTCCCCATTATAATGATGATGGACTGAACATCTGAAATTTTACGCGAGCCACCCCAATGAAATGTTTTCCTTATAAGACTTGCCGTGGTCATGGTGTCTCTTCACAGTAACAGGAGCCCTAACTAAGACAGCTGGACTTGGAGACGTATGTCTTTAATCTCAGCACTCGGGAGGCAGAGGCAAGTGGATCTCTGAGTTCAAGGGCAGCCTCATCTACAAAGCAAGTTCCAGGATAGCTAGGGCTGCTACACAGTGGAAACCTCTTCTCAAAAAACAGGGGGAAAAAAGTACCCACATCATGTGTTTCTCATACCACTTGACCTTCACAGCCCTGTGATAAAGGCACTAATACTAGACCCATTTCATAAATAAGTTTTAGAGGGTCAGAAAGTCAAACAACTTGCCCAAGCCATGCAACGACCCAGGTCTCTATGCTCCATAACTGATGAACCATATAACCTTGGCTCATCTGGACTAGAATCCGCCCTGGGGGTCCTTTCCTAGTCCCACCTGAAGTTCTCTTGGCTTCTGTTGGAATCTAGCCTTTTAGAACAAGAATGCTCAGTCTCACCTCTGGCCAGCTGTTCCCTTGGACACCTCCCACCATGAGGAGAACCAAAGGACAGGGCTCATAAAGGGATCAGCGCCCTCCCACTCCCCAGGTGACTTCCCATCTCTCAACCAGAAAGGACACTCAGCCCACACTAACCTGCCTACCACACCCCCCTCAGCTCTCCGACACCTCAGACTCCTGGTCCTGTCTACTTAGTCTCCTGACGTCAGGCCTTGCCCCAGGGCAGAGCCAGAGAATGTACCCCCCCCAAACCAATTTAATAACTATGGCAAAAGAGCTAGACCCAGCAACTAGGGGCACATTTTATGACTATGCATCTCATTGGTCCCCAGAAATCAAGAGCAGAGAACAATCCAAAGATTGTTCTTATCCCATTTGGGGCATGATGCATAGGCCTGGGCCAGATCTGGGCTCTTTCTAGGCCTCAGAGACCCTGATCTTAGAGAGAGGATGAAGAGGCCAGCCTGGCCCTGGCCCCTAGCTCCAGCTATCTCTCACCTTCATGGAGAC